CTCTATACTCAGAATTTAAAAAATTAATGATAAAACGCGTGACAACTGGCAGAAAAATTATCGTTTTTCCATTTGTTTTGATGTGAAAAAAATGCGAAGTGTAGCTAAAAGATAGAGCGAAGTCAGGGCTACATAATGGCTGATTCTAGTTTTCTTACTTTTAAAACGTTAATACAAGAAATCGTTTTTGACTTTAGAAATTTTTTATTTTTTCGTCTTTAGTATAATCTGCGTAGTTTTCTTGATTGACGTTCTGAAATCAAAGTTTAAGTATAGTTTTTTAGAGTATTTCGCGGTGCATCTTTTAAAAAGTACGCTAAGCTAATCATCCTAAAGAAACACGACAAAAATGGAAAATACTAAACGAGTCATTCTTTATGCCGCACCTGTTAGTCGTCAAAACACTTCGATAGTTCATAATTTTCAGTCAATCTGATGTAGAAAAAGAAGGATTGATTAATACCGGTGCATGCCTAGTACCATCGCCATCACAAGACACATATATCCGTCAACACAAAATGAAGATTCTTAATGTTGTTGTTTTCCGGTCTTTTTTCGTAATGACAACAACAACCAGAACTAAAAACTTAAACTCAAATCATAAATGGTATTATGTGTCCCGGCCTGATAAGTATGAATGAATTCGACTCATCCATCATGGAGCATTTTTATTGCTTGGAAGAACCTAGATTTAGGGCACTTCTTTCGATGGTGACAGAAACCAAGATTATAAACAAAGTAACTCAAATGGGAACTTTTTTCCATGCACCCTCAGAGAGTGGTTGCCTGGAAAACCAGTTTTTTCAGAAACTCTAAAAGGTAACCAAAATCTTTCTTAGTAACTCATAGTTGTAGCCCGTAGTTTTTGATTAAAATGAGACATCTACCAGCTCTACACGACCTTTCTTTGCAAGTTGTCAAATTTACAAGAAAAGCCTAAATTAATTTCTTCTTATTTCTGTAGCTTTGAGCTGACAATGAACATTTAGGTCTTTTTGTGTAAATTCGATAACTTTGCAAAGAAAGATCGTGTAGAGTTGGGAGGTGTCTCATTTTAAGCAGAAATTTACGGGCTACAATTATGTCTCATTAAGAAAAGTTTTGGATACCTTTTAGAATTTCTGAAAAACTAGTTTTCCAGAAAGCCGCTCGCTTAGGGTTCCTGGGTAATTACTACTATGATATTTCGATTCAGCATAGTTGATAACCTATAATCCACTAGGTGTTACTGAAAAAGCGATGTGATAGTTCGCGAGGCTCCCTTAGTAGTATATAATACATGTTTTGATCCGGCCCTTAGATAGAAGCGAATGCTTATAGAGCATTTAAGAAAGAGACAGATGCTGCTAAAACGCGTAATTATCACCCTCTGTTGCGGTGGGAGACACCTCCCAACTCTACACGATCTTTCTTTGCAAAGTTATCGAATTTACACAAAAAGACCTAAATGTTCATTGTCAGCTCAAAGCTGGGATTTGGTGCATTGGCCATTTGAAATCTAGAAAGTAAAATAAAGTGAATAAAAGGCTTGTCTAATAAAGGCTGTAGTGCGATGCTGACTACTAAGACTAAAGCGTAAAGAAGAAAACATCATGTTTTTGTGTTTTTTAAAAGAAAACATTAAAAGTGAAGGATTTTTAAAAGTAAAATCTATTTTGTATTAACATCCATTTTAACATATTTAGCCAGTTGCTGATATATTCTGATTCCTTTCTGATAATATATTTGAGCAGTTTGTTTGTTATCTATATTGCAGCATTTATCGCCCATTTTCTTGTATTCGAGAGCTGCATCGGTCGCAACGGCTATAATTAATGAGCAATCATCTTTAAACACGCCAGCCAACTTCATATGAACTGATAGATCGTTATGGTCCTTCATTATATAGATCGAATGAACTTGATTCAGGTCAGCAAACGATTTTACTTCAATGTCGCGATCAGTCGAAATTATGAGAAAAACTGTATTATTTTGACGCTGACCCATGTACTCACGGCAGTTAACCAAGTTTTCGACATATATCACATCGACAGCAACAACAATATTTTGAAATGCGCTTAATACTTTCGGTGAAAAATTTGTTAACATGTTCAGCCATATAAATGCTATATCACCACTTGCACTCTGTTGACTTATCGGATGCAACCTCATAAACAAATGTAACTTCAAAAATTAAAATTTTTTCTAAAGACTGCTGCAATTTTTCCAAGCGTGACTAACTAACTATTATAATGCCAACCTATTAGCGAAAACAGACATATTTGAATTTCTATATATACCTGTGGCATGGTGTTCATCACTAGGTGTATCATACCAAACAATTTTTGTCTTTTGAATCATTGTTATTATCATTTAATTTATTTTCAAAACCACCGAAATAATGATCAAGCCTTTTTAATCGATCATGTTTTTGACTTTCTACTATTGCAATATTTTCTTTCAATTTGTTCGATAATAATTCAGGTAATTCTTTTCCATACATTACTTTACTTCCTGTACTACTCGCAAAACTTGAAAATTCGCAAGAAAAATGATGCTGAAAAAAGCAAGAAAAATGATGCTACTGTGCTCTTGGATAGACTTTAAAACAAAAAACAATGCAGAAAAGAAAACAGAAATAAAACGGTTCTGTGTACGATTCCTCTGTACTGTCAATTTATTCAGAAAAAAATAAACGATAAACACGTATGAGAGAGAGGGACGGAGCATTTGCATATGCCGTCATCAGTCCGAAAGGGTATAGATAAAGTAGAAGGTATTTTCTGAGTCAACCCATTGAAAACTTTATAAAATTTTAAGATAAATGTGCCATAGGCAATGGCAGTCGCGTAGGATTCTTGGGAAGCGGCGTCTGTAGTCAGTCTCTACTATATGGTGAGTCTCGTGCAGAGTAAATGAATATATTTTCATCATCACAAGAAGAGAGCCGAGTGTAAAGCTGTCTCTCCCCTCCATAACGAGTTGACGAAAAATGACCAGAGAGTTTTACTTTCAGTATATCTTTTTTACTGTTAATGCTCGAGAACCAGTTGGGGTAATGGGTAAAGAAAAAGGTAAAGAAATCGTTTCCGTAGTAAAATATGTGTATATAGAGTCTCTCCTTTTTACTGATTATAGAAACGTAAAAACAAACGTTCGGTTTTCTCTTCTCATTCCGTTTTCTTCATTCAGCAAAGAGAAAGGTAAAGAAATCGTTTCCGTAGTAAAATTCTTTACTTTAATCTTTGCATTGAACTTTACATTACCATTTTAAATTCTTCTCTATAAATGAAACAAATAAAACTACTACTGAGAGGGCCTAAATAAACGAAACAATTCTTCATTCTGGCGACATCTGTATATGACGTCGTCAATTTTATACCGAGTTAGCGAAAATTAAACAGAGAGTTTTACTTTTGGTATTTTTTGGTATCTGTTTTATTGTTAATGCTAGAGATCGCATTCCAACGCCATTCGAAGGAGCAGATATTTTTGAACATTACGTATAAAAATAACTAATGCACAAGACTGCTCAAACTTTGTAAAAACAATTTTCCTTCTCTGTGGTCTTGAATAGCAAAGTGAATTTGTTTAAGAGTAGCCCTCGCTCTGTTTTTATTAAGATTTTGATTTTCGAGTTAGATGTATCATAATATACAGTTAAGTGTCCTCTGTATAATGAGAGACCTCGCAACTCTCTATGATGTTTCCTTTCTGAGTTATGCCTTTTTTATGCAAGATAATGATGGAGTGAAATACACACCCAAGTGCTTATGTTCCTCAACTCGATCGAGAACATGACCTGCAATCATCAGCGTTCCAGAGGATGGTCTTTTACAGAAACACATTGAAACGCATTTTGGTAAATTTAACGATAATAGCCATTGAACGGACCACTGCTGAACAAGCGCAAGATCCTTGTTCAGGGTCAAGTTGACCTGATTATAACTCTTATCACTACAATAAAGTAGCATATCATCAGCAAATACACGTCAATATTGAAGTACGGCAGATGGATGCAATATCTTCAGCGATAATTGATAAAGATTCACGCAAAAGACGATTGTTAACACCTGGCGCGGCTGCTTTATTAACATCCAGGCGTGATAAAAAATTTTCTACTTCGTCAGTAGAAACACGAAAAGGCAGAAATATTATTTAGGCATCAATATTATCGCAATGTTATTGTGTTGACGATTTCATGGCCATTTGAATTGCGGCGCTGAAAACCACAGTCATTCCTTTGGACATACGCACCATCACGCGAAAGCTGAAAAGAACGCTGAGAATTACCATGGTTACAGTCTTAAATAGTTTCATATGAACATCGCCATGGTCCTCCAGATATTTGCTAATGTCTATCGTCATTTGTACTAAGGAATTGTCCTGATGATCTACACTGCCGATATATTCGGCATAGTCCATTGCCCAGCATTGCGCATGATGCTTGATGTAGCCGCAAAATATGTATATGCCACGGATCTGTGGCCAACCAGCAATTCGTGGCACAATTAACTCGCCCATATTGCCTGATGAAATGAAGAAAATTTTCTTGTCACCATTTTCGCGAATGAATGCGAGACAGCCATCAATTTCGAAAAAGGGTTTTAAACAATAAGCACAGTCTTTTAGTTTTACGAAAATTTTGGGATTTTCTAGCAAAATCATCGGGCTGATGAATAATTAAATGCATCGGGATGAGATAAGTCTAAGTAACCATCCACATTCACAAAATCATGGACACGGTCAGTCACATAGTCCTTGACATGATAATTGTCACTGATTTATCCATTGTCAAAAGAGCTGAAAAGCCTTTTGTTCTTGTACTGCCGGAACACTAAACTTGAATTTTTCGGGATAAGCTTTTAAAATCGTTTTTAGCATATTTATTTTAGTTTTTATCAAATAGAACATCAGGCTTATCAATATTAAGTATACAAGATGTTAAAAAGGATTTTCCTACGTTACAGGCGGATGGGCTAACTGACCCTATATATATAATATAAAAACTATAAGAGTGATCAATCCTTTTGACCTGTTGTTTCTGCTTCATCGAGCTTGCCCATTAAACGAGCACGCTGTTCTCGGTAGTACTTACCACCCAACTTTTCTTGACGCAATGATAGTTTAATTCCCCATGCATAACAATATTTGGCTTTAAAAGGCTCTAGTAGTATCATATGATCATCGCCACAGTCCTCTAGATACTTGCTAATGTCTATCGTCGTTCGTAGTAACAAATCGTCTTGATGATCTAACATTGCCGATATATATTCGACATAGTCCATTGCCCAGCATTGTGCATGTTGTTTGATGGAGCCGCAAAATATGTATATGCCATGAATCTGTGGCCAACCAGCAATTTGTGGCACAATCAATTTGCCCATAGTGCCTGATGAAATGAAGAAAATTTTCTTGTCACGATTTTTACGAATGAATGCGAGACAGGCATCAACTTCTGAAAAGGGTTTTAAACAATAAGCACAGTGTTTTAGTTTTTCGAGGAATCCGGAATCTATGATCGGATAGTCAAATTCAGCTTCTTCTTCACTCAATGTGTTTAATGGTTGAATGAAACGTTGAAATACTGCCGCCAGAGGACAATTTCGCCATGGTGCGTCAGTGTATTTGTCTAACCATACGGTTAAATGATTAGAGAATGTGCAGATGTTGCGATCATCCAAACGGGACCTCACTCTCGAGTAATAATCGCCTTCAACATTTTCTGCTGATATCTAAAAAGAACTTAAACCCATTGTTTCTGATACGATTATTTCGTCGCGGATGTGGTGTGTCAGAGTGATCTTCATTCCGGCTGTTAAAAAGAAATTCCGAATGTAAACATGTGAAACTTTGAAGTAATGTAATGAGAATCGAAAGAAGTGTAAGTTCTTACTTCCTCTAGAATGAAATGTGACATTTACTCTCATCGACCCGCCTACTACTCATTATTTATCTTTTTCCTTTTATGTGTATGTGTTCATTCTAACTCTGTTCACTGTGTAACGAATAATGACTTCTCCTCTCGATGGGTAAATTTAGTAAGGACGTTAGTTCCTTCCTGCCCTCGTGGCACCGATACACTAACGGACGTGAGTAATCGTGCTGTAAGATACGATGCTCTTAAAGAAGTCAACAAGTAAACAGTGAGTCAGTATACTTTTATTCATTCTACTGCAGAGATAGTTTTTTTGAAGAAAAGCTTTTCCTAACTGTCATTTCCTTTTTTTTATCTGAAAACAAAACTTTTGAAAAAGACACAGCTGTGGTGCATGATATGAACCGAAGTTATACAAAAACAAAATTCATAGTAAATATAAATCGATAGATTTTCACATGGAGAATCTTCTAGTGTGTGAAAAGGTTTATCGTATTGTAACGGGTATAGTGCAGAAATGGAAGCAGTCTGAGAGCTGATTTTGTTATCCATCGAAAGGGAACTTGGTAAAAAAGACTTATTATTATGCAAATATTATGGACTAATTTTCATATTATTTTTACTAATTGATCAACACTGTACCCCAAAGTGAACATTGACTAAACCCTTATAGACAAACCACGAAGCATCTGATGAAAAATTACTTCTTATATTGTTGTGCGAATAAGTAGCTTATCAAGCTGTACAACAGTGTAGAATTAGTTTCTTGATCAGATGCTCTGTCATTTTTCTATACTGATTCTGCTAATGTTCGTTTTGGGATGAAGTGTTAAGCAAAAAAGCTTATTGCACTTTTACATCTTTGAGAACAACGCTACAGTGGAAGCACAAACAGCTTATATGATAGATCATCAATAGGCAAAAGCTGGAATATGGCACTTCATCAAACTTCGCCGTGACACTTTAGATGAAATATGATACACGACAGATTAAAAATTTTAAACTTGGGTGCTATCAGGCGAAAAAGGAAACATTCGCAAGCGATTAAAAGCTTTTTAATAAAAAAATACTTTTCTAGGCTAACTTTTGATGCTGATCACAAATGTGATCTTCATTTCCGTTCTAAGACCAATCAAGTACCATCCTATTCAAACCGAATATCTGAAACCTTATGTCAGAACTTTGAACGAAGGGATTTCTGACACCGCCACTTTGTAGAACAGGTCATATCAGGTATATAAAAATAGTTCAGTTCTACGGAATAAGTTCTCAAAGACGTATGAAACTTTCCATGTAGGAAATTTTTCTTCTGTCTGCTTCTGACGAATGATAAAAGTAAAAGTTTTGATATCTTCATGGAAAACACTCTCACCCAACACTAGGAAAAAATGTGACGTTCTCCTAGTACAACGACTTGGGTAGCATGCATCGTTATACGTTTTAGAGAGCAGTATAAGGGAAGCTGTCAAAAATAAGTCTACGCGTAGACGTAGACCATAGTCTTCGCGTAGACGTAGACCATAGTCTTCGCGTAGACGTAGACCATAGTCTTCGCGTAGACGTAGACCATAGTCNAGTCTTCGCGTAGACGTAGACCATAGTCTTCGCGTAGACGTAGACCATAGTCTTCGCGTAGACGTAGACCATAGTCTTCGCGTAGACGTAGACCATAGTCTTCGCGTAGACGTAGACCATAGTCTTCGCGTAGACGTAGACCATAGTCTTCGCGTAGACGTAGACCAATATCGTTCTATTTTCTTTTCTTTTTCTGGTTTTGCTGAAAAATCGGATACATTTCTATGTACAGAATAGAACAAATTTTCGGTTTTTATTATCAGTTTATTATACAAACTAACACAATTTAAAGCTGAACTGCTATTTTTTCTATTCATAAATATCAGTTACACATATATTTGTATTTATATATCGTTTTCAAATCAAATAATCAGTTTTACCGCATTATGAAGACTTTTTTCTTTCTAACGAAAGGAAAACGATACACTGGAAATTTTCCTGATTTTCTCACAAGTTAACTAATTAAAGTAAATTTAATTAAAAAGGCATCCTTTCTCCCATTTTTAACGAATATAAAGTGGTCGACTCGGACTTTAAGATAGACTATTTTTCCGAAAAGGATACTGCCTAGTTTTTTGAGTTATCTGATTGTTTCACAAAAACAAAGCACTTTTTCCTAAGCCAAGTTTTGGGCTTCTCATGCTTTTTCTACGTTAGATGTTAATAGAGTAAAAAGTTAAAAAACATATTTAGTTAGAAAACACTAACGTTATGCTTACTCCAATTCCAATTTCTTTTTTTGCTGCCATCTGCCCGTCAGTTAATAAAACAATAGAAAAAATTGCTTTTTTACTCATAAATGAATTTTCCGACAACAAGAATGCTTACATGAATCGGATTGTCAATATCAACATTATGGTCTCTTGGTATATTCACACATTCTGTTAATGGATCGACTATCATTCCAGATTCTTTTTTTACTGTACAATAATCTTTATTACCGATATGTGTATCAAACCATATTATTGGAAAATCCATCTCATTTTGGGAGTTCGATATTTCATTTTGAGGATCCTGATAGTCATTTATATCTATAAGGAAAATAAAAAGAGTAGATTGTACCGGATTTCTGGAGTATTTTTCGTTTGCCTAGTGGTTGAATCGCATTTTATCGCTAACTTGATACATGGTAAATAAAATTGCTAATCCAGCAAAATGTTTACACGAATATACTACTAATGGTACAACAAGCCAGGAGGGAAACAACGCAGATCGGGACTGATTGGACGTGTGCGAGTTCATAGGAATGCTGTAAAAATGAAAGTAGACATTACCAATGGATGTGAGATGATCAAAAATCGTAATCTCGACTCCATCAACCAGCTTCTGTTTTAAATAATTAGCAGCTGTTCAAACAGTTCCAATTCCTCGAGCTGAAATGGAACTGTCACACACATATTAAACACTTCCTACACCTTTTTGTCTGCTTACAGAACGGCTTAGCCTCACAAAACCGTGTCATCGATCTCAAGAGAGCTTCCTTTGCGACTAACTGCATACTTGGAAAACCTGTCTCAAGTGTCTCGAATTTAGCACCAAAATACTCATCAGCGCGTGCCTCCTACCTCCCTAGAGTACGTACTGATTTTACAGCACTGATATCCGGTAATTCTTTATCGTCAGTATGACTGTACTCATACAGTAACTATAAATGCATAACAGCAAGAAGGAAGTAGTATCGGATTCATCGATTTTACGTCAACCTAGTACCAGGCCGTCACTAGAGGAGTTGCCAGGGCACTCCGGAACCTGCTTGAATAGAAAATACCGGAAGGAGCGTACGAATTGAAAAAAACTTTCGCTGAGTCAAAACAGTGTTTCCACCATGACGAGCACCTCCGTACCCCTGTAGAAAATTCCTGACTACATGCTTGGTTAATGCTGTTTCTCACTGATCCTGAAGGCTTTCTTAAAAAAACTGGACCAGTACTGGCTCAAAATTGTCAGTATCAATACTAATATACAGGAATGTTGTAAGTACGGACGCCTGGTTCGTCAGTATTTCAGTACTGAACAATCAGTTCGTGGACTAGGGCCTTCACCCTATAAATAATTCGACGTGATAAAATGTGAAAAGTCTTATGAATTAAAAGAGTTTCGATAACTGGACTCATCAACGAGACGAAGCTTATGCGCACAGTCACAATCTAATTTAACTCAAAACTGATGTTAAGAAAATTATTCATTGATCATTTCCAAACTTTTTCGTCAGTAAATAGTTCAAATTCAAAGCCACTGAACTATTCTTTTTGGACGACCTGGTTCAAACAAGAGATTGAGCCGGGCGAGAACAAAACCCACGTCTTGCAGAAAAAGAAAATCTGCACAAGTTCTTTAAAGATTTTTTTTCTTGAAAATTCTTGATCAAGAACTTGATCAAGATTTATTGATACCTCTGCACTT